AATTCCCCAGTCAGCCTTGCTGGTTGGGGAATTCTGGAAGTTGAAGTCCATCCATCTTAAAGTTGCCAAGGTTGAGGAACCCTCTACTATAGGGATTCAAAGCTCCCTACTTGGTCAGCCTCTCCTATTGTTGCAGTCACTTTTTCACTTTGCTGTTTGTGATATAAAGCAGAAGGTAAGACACTGCATAGTAAGTTGGGGATAATTTTAGTGGAAACAAGCAAATGTTTACCCTGAAATAAAATCCCGTAAATTTGATTTCAGTTACTGACTGGACCTGTAAACAGCAATTCAGGTGAGCGTTTTCATCTATAACGCTATTCATCCATTTCTTCCTATTCGAGCAGACAATCAAATGTACCATCCCCTTTCTCAGCTTTTACATTGCACAGTCTATTCAGATATCTGTTTAACAATATATAACTTAAGATTAAATTGCATCACACTGCAATATTTGGTTTCTCACACAGCAGAAGAATCACTCAAATACCTCTTCAATAAACTATACTCTACTATGAAAAAGAAAAAAAAAATCTAAAAAAAATACCAGAACAAAGTAGCAGCTTCATCATCATGCAAAATACCCTTGGAAACTAACGTTCAATATTCACAAAGACATTTGTATTCACAAACTTTGTGTCTGAAGACTTTGGAGGACTTAGCGAGCAATAAGACAGTGCTCTGAGAACAGGGATCCACATGGACATCAACAGCTGGGCAACAGAGGACAGGTCCTGGATGAAGAAAGAACTTCTGAAGAACTGTTCCGTCTTGATATTTGTTGCTTCAAGCTTGCCTTTTCAGAATTTTGCATTCAGTTCATGAAGTTATGGAAGCTGACTAATTTTTAGAAAACAAAGATGATCCATTATAAGGCATTTTACATTATGATGAAAAGTCTGTCGATGGGTAGCCTGCAAGTGTCCAATTCAATGCTTGCAGCTATCCAGGAGATCTTTGACACCTAGCCTATCACTGCTTCCTAAAACTTAGCTTTTTTTTCCTAAGTCTTTTTTATTTTAAAATCAATTGCCATTTTCCAACCACCATTTTCATTTCCCCCAGAGTATTTCAGACCCTGGGTTTAGAAACATTTTCAGGTGTACTAATGATGTCGCATTGATGAGCTTGAAGTCGGTAGTGGGAGCAATGGTTACGGAGGTGCTGGAAGGAAGTGATGAGGAAAGTAGTGAAGAAGTCTCTGTGTTTTTTTGTTTTTTTAAATTACAGCATTGATTTATAGTTAATTTTACACAGGCTAGCCAGGATGAAATGGTATGGGATGAAACTGAAGTTGAGTTTGTATTCTGGACACAAACAATGTTGAAAGCAGGCATATAAATATCAGTATTCTAAATAAGAAGGCGAAGGAAATAGCAGGGTTTTCCCTTTCCTTTACAAATCATTTGTTCCAATGTATAAGAAGTGCAACCCATTCAAAACTAAGTTCAAATAAACAGAAATCAGGTAATTTTTTTCAAGGGGAGCCCTTTTTACATAAAGTCTTCAAAAGCACACACACAAAAGAAGACCAAACCCAACCCTGCAATTCCACAGTAAAGCACATACAGAATTCGGTTCTGATGGCCTAGATGATGAAGCATTCACACACGGGTACGGATCTGACACACCAACATGCAGCCACGGTGGGTGCCTTCAGCGTCTTTCCCAAAGAAGATACCAAGTCACTGGCACTGCCATTTATCTGCAGCCTGAGCAGACTGGGCCCCCTTTTTCTGAATGAAACGGCGGGCTAACATTTTGGCAGGATCTTGATTTGTTACATAGGTTTGGATTTAACAGGGTCATAACTGGCAGTGTCTGCTGCCAGATAACATCCAGAGCAGGATAAATTGGATTCCTATCATAGACCAGAGTGGTGGACTCAAGCCAGAGACCCCACCACAGTCAGCTGAATCATCCTGTAGGTAAAAAAGAGAGAGATGTATTATTAGGATTAGCTGAAACATGAATAGGGAGATGCTGATTACTTAAGCAATAGCCTTCTCACTGAGAATTATCTTGTGCAATTTATTCTCACAGTGCTGACCCATGTGGGCATCAGGCTTCTGAATAGTCCTTAAAGTACTAGAGAGGTTAGTTACCCAGTCTAGAATCTTCTTACCCTACATACCCCAGGCATCTCAAATTAGTGATGATTCCCCAAATTCAACTCAGTAGTCACCACCTGCCTTCCAGTTATATTTCTATAATCTCATTTGTCTGATTTGTAATCTATAGAGGTTAACTCATCCACATTATAACTAAACACACTGATATAAAACTTTGCCACAGAGCCATATTACTAACTGAACATGATGCATAGAATAATAGAGCTAGAAGATTTCTTAGAGGTCTAGTCCTCACTGTAGGAGCCACTAAGGCATTTCTAAGAGAACATCCAGTCTCTCTTTGAAGGCCTCCAGCAAAGGACATTTTGGAACAATATTCCAGGTGGTGTCATGACCAGGGGAGAGTTGAATGGAACATCAACTTCTGATGACCCTGACTCTTGCTCCTGTTAATGCACCTCAAGATGGCATCTGACATTTTAAGAGATATATCACACTGCTGGATCATGTTTAACTTGTGGTCGACTAGGACATCTAGATCTTTTTCACATGTACCAGTTGCAAGACAGGTCTCCTCCACTGCCTGGCTGTCATAAGCTATCATCAATTCTATATGCATTCTCAAAGAACAGAGACTTTTTATAATAACTTATGGTTTCAGTCAAAAATCACCTCAATTTAATTCTCACTCTTTGCTTTTGTTGGATAAACGACTGTAAAATAATTAGATCTCTTTCCAAAGACCACAAATAGGTTATTGTGAATTTGTTTAATATGTATAAATAATATGTATAAATAAGCTATATATTCTATAGGTATACTTCATGTTCTGATCATTGTCTTTCTAGTCCCAGTGGAAAAAAATTGCAAGAAGTCATATTTGGAAGCCATATCATCATACAACACTAGCTTAGACAATTAGAACATTGTCTCTCCATTTTAAAATATGGATACATACATTAAGACCTATTCTTGAGAGTGTTCAATCTTTCAATAGACAATCTATCTAATTCAGTGATTTGTAAACATTCTCAGCAATGGTCATAACTGGCTGAGGAATTCTGTAAGTTGAAGTCCACCCATTTGGAAGCTGTCAAGCTTGAAAAACCCTGGTCTAAAATAATGAGAAACTTTGTCAGAAAGTGAAGTCATGTTATCGCACGGCGTACTTTTATCGTATTGCATTTAATTGACAGCCTACACAAACGCCAAAGGATTTGGATCTGGGTGGCACTATAATGTAAAGCTTATGAAGTAAATTAATTCTGTGCTGCATGTCTTTTAATGAAGCAACAATTTTGTGGATTTTTTTATTTCAATTTTTTAAAAGAAAATTCTGTGACATCTCACAAATTTGTTGAAATAACCATCTTTGAACACAATGTTTCAAGAAAAAAAAGTTAATTAAATATGTGGAATTCAAAGGTGAATGAACTAAACTGCACCTCCAAGAACGGATACACAGACTGGAATACAATTGCCATCCTTTGGGTTTTGCACTTCTCCATATTTGCTCTGCATTTCTCAGGTACAAAAAACATAACCACACTGCATATTTTTAGATAAAGCATGTTTTTCAATCGACACAAACCTGCACTGCTTTCATCGTTTTCTCAAAGAACACATATCCCGGACAATAAACTACAGAAATGAATTTGAAGATTCCTGAAATCACAAAACTCGAAGGGAGCTTTGTAAATCACTAATCCAACCCTTGTTAAAACTTATCCAACAGATGGCAGTGAGGCAAGTAATTAGTTCCTCTGCCAAATTTCTCTTACCTTCCAGAAGTTTCTACCAATGCTCAGTTAAAATGGATCATTTGTTTGTTTGTTCATCCAATTTCAAGGCCACCCAACTCCAAAATGACTCTGGGCAGCTTCGCAAGATTAAAAAGAACATTACATCTGAAATGAATCCACGCCTTTATATGAAGGCATAATGGTGGGAACATAATCTATGATGGAGTATGAGGTGATATGAGGGAATGTATTTTCAACAAGTCCATCTGAACAGATTGGATAGGTTAGGCATGCTCCAGGTCTCTTCTCTTACATGTTGCCATCTAATGGGACCTTGGAAGCACCCCTTTTTTCCATTCTCCTATGGAACACCCTTCCCCTTGAGACCTGGCAGGCCCCCACTCTTTCAACTTTCTGAACAGCACTTAAACCTGCTTTTCCCCCCAAGTATTGGGACAGGCTGAGATTGGCATGGGGGAAGTTTAGCTGTGGCACCAGGTTTTACTGTTTTTGCTTTATTGTTGGTGTGTGTATGCGTGTGTGTCTGTGTACATTTGTTTGTTTGTTTATTTATTTAGAGAGCCAGTGTGGTGTAGTAGTTAAGGCATCAGGCTAGAAACCAGGAGACCATGAGTTCTAGTCCCACCTAGGCACAAAGCCAGCTGGGTGACCTTGGGCCAATCACTTTCTCTCAAGGAGGCAATGGCAAACCACTTCTGAAAAACCTTGCCAAGAAAACTGCAGGGACTTGTCCAGGCAGTCTCTGAGAATCAGACACAATTGAACAGACTGAATTTTTTTTAAAAAAAACCCTGTTTTATCCTTGGGTTGTGAGCCACCCATGGTTTGGTTTAAGATGGGCAGCCATATAAAAGTCTAAAATACATAAATGGATGAAAGCTGGTTTATAACAGAATGCTTGGTGGGCAAAGTGGGGGCCATATGGATCTCCAGGGAGGCAGTTGCATTAATAAAAAAGGCCCACTGTCTGGATCCCACTAGATGACATTGACTGGAGTCTACACAAGCCAAACCTGAAGAAGCGGGTAGACATTACAGGAGAAAGGCAGTCCCTCAAATAGCTAGGTCCTGACACATAAGGCTTTATAGGTGATAACCAACCTCTTGAACTGCACCTACCAACTGACAACTAATGCAGTTCATGTAGCAGGAGTGTAATATGGGCACAGTGAAGCTTGCCCATCATTATTTGCACTTCTGTATTCTGGACCAGCTGTATCTTCTTGGCAGACCTCAAGGGCAGCCCCATTAAGTGCATTTAGCCCATTAAATCTACTTCTGCTCTTGGCCTCAACAGAAAACAAATCTTTCAACCTTTTCCATGCAACAGGCTTCAAAAATAATGGTGACCAACAATATATTTATATATAGGTAGCCCTTGTTATTCTCAGGAGTTCTATTCCAGTGCAAACCCAGAGATTGTGAAATTATGAAAAAAACAAGACCTTGAGGGTACGGGAACTTGTGGATCCTATGGTTGTTCTGCTTTTCCAATGTGTGCACCCTCCGTTTTCCTCTCATAGCATGGGTGAAATCCCTATTTATCAACCACAGATGCATGAAACTATGTGTGAGACCATAGATAATAGGTTCCCACCTCTATTATATGTAAATATAGACAATATTATTATTATTTCAGATCCAATATGAGCTCATTATAACTCTGCACTTGATTAAAATATGACCTCAAATACGATATGTGTGAGCAGGAGACCCTTTTCTTCACTGCTGCTTCACATTTAGGGACCATTTTAAAATAGTTTGGTCAAAAACCTGTTTTAGCAACGTGCTTACGTGAAATCACTTTAGTATGGTTCTTGACCAGCCTTAAATAATACACAGGGTGTGCGTATTTTTGTAAGCTGAAATAAGAAACAAAGCTACTTTTTGCTGACTGTTAACAGCAGCTTCTGGGAGATTTAAAAAAAAAAAAGTCAAAATGGCAGCCATAGCAGTGTGATGCGTCACTCCTTTTTAATATGAATGAATCGCGTGTGCAATGTTCATAAAAAGGGGTGGGGCTGTCATCACATGCCATCTTAGCTTTTTTGATCTTTGCAAGATCATCCTTACTGTAAATTAGATCACAATACAGAAGTAAGTGTCCTGTTGATATGATAGCAAAGAAAGAAAGGGTTTTGTCAGAAAAAGGAATAAGAAATTGCTGATATATATACTATGAGTAATTGTCTGATCGCTGCATGTTATTTGTCTATATTGGAAAAAATCTTGTTTTGGTTTTAAAAATAAAGAGTATGTATCAAGTCACTTCATTGTTATTCATCCCACATATAGAAAAGTTCCTTGAAATGTAATATGAATGACTCAGAGAAAAGCTAGCTAAAAAGAGATTTATTTTCAGAAAGTTCTAAAAATCCTCCAGCACTCACAAGTTTGGAAATAAGCTTAATAGTACTTTTGGAATGACGAATGAACCTTTAATCAGATTTCTTAAAAAATAAAATATACATAGGAGGCTAAGAAAAAAAATCTGACTCACTATGCAACTTATTATTTCAACCATGAGATTATTTAATAGACTGTCCAACCTTTCTTTGTTCAAAAATAGCACAGGACAACTGCACTGGTTATCAACAACTGCAGAGATTTAATAAATTTAATAAAGAGTTTCTTAATTTAATATGAGTTTAAATAATAATTACTATTACTATTACTACTACTATTATTATGACATATCTCTTGAATCCTTCTTACTCCTTTCTGTGATTGTCAGTAGGACTATCAAGAATTTATGAGGCAAAGATTTCCAGAGAGGAGGCTTTCCATAAAGGCATGATGACAATATTTCTAAGCCCTTTTTCATGGCTTACCTTAGCCATGAAATGACAATTGAATATGGATCATATTTTTCCACAAACTGGGGACATCCTATTGACTTAGTACATGACCATTCACATCCCACTCCAAACATGTGGCTTTTCTGGGGTCATCTTTGGTTCAGACAGGAGGCAGGAGCAATTCACAATCACGTACAAAGGAAAGCAAAGTGGGGGCTTTAGTTGTGCAAGCAATCCAGGGCACACTCACTGAGTCAAAAGAGTGTGGGATCAATACAGAAGAACCAAT